GCTGCTGACTCCCTTTGGTTTCGGCAGGACCAGGACGGAGCCCTCTCCCCCACCGAGCTGCAGAACTTCTTCAGCGTCTTCCCCTGCGTGCCCTGGGGCCCAGAGCTCTACAGCACGGTATGCACCACTGATAAAGGCCTGCTTTCCTTGCATGGATTCCTCTGCCAGTGGACGTAAGCTCAGTCCCCCTCCCCTGCCTTCAGCCACATCGCTTAGCCCTTGCTGACCTGGTCGGCCCCCCGGCTCCCTCTCTCTCTCCAGACTGGTGGCTTACCTGGATGTGCGGCACTGCCTGGAATGCCTGGGCTACCTGGGCTACCCCATCCTCTCGGAGCAGGACTCCCAGACGCAGGCCCTCACGGGTACGGCCATGCCCTCCCCTCCTGTCACAGCTCGGGTCCCTTCACTCGCTCACCCAGCATCTCTCCTGCCAGTGACCCGGGAGAAGAGGATCGACCTGGAGAAAGGCCAGACCCAGAGAAACGTCTTCCTCTGCAAGGTGCTGGGAGCCAGGGGCGCAGGCAAGTCCGCCTTCCTGCAGGCCTTCCTCGGCAGGAGCCTTGCGGTGAGTGACTGCTCCCCTCTCCGCCCGCGCTGCGGCAGGGCATCCCGCCAGAGCAGGAGGCAGAGCCGGGAGGCTGTTGAGGAATCTGCTCCATCCCCATCATGGCAAAGGGTTTCACACCCCTCTCCGTGCCAGCGGGGCCGGTTGCTGTGGCTCCCGTGTCCTTAATTTTGCCAAAGGCAGCAGGCCTGCTCCCTCTGCTTGTCCTGAGAATCTGGAGGGGCCATGCTTTTCCCGAGCAGCCGTATCTTCCCTAAGGCGATGCCGGCTTTCCCTGCTTATTGCCAGCCGCCCCGCATCTCGTGGCAGGCTCCGGCTGGCCTGCAAGGGGCTGTTGCGGCACGGGGGCTTGGGGCAGTGTGAAATGCTCTCCCTCCTCCAGCGCTTCCCTTGCTCCTTGCTGTCTGAGACGCCGTTTTCATCGGTTTCAGGCCCAGAGGGAGAACGCAGGAGAGTCGTCCCTCTACGCGATCAACACGGTGCAGGTCAACGGCCAGGAGAAGTACCTTATAGTAAGTTGGGGAGAGGAGGGAATCGCCACCGTGCCCCCCATATTGCTCCAGTGCCATCCTGGCACCCCTGGGCTGGGCTACGGCTGTCCCACGCCGGCACAGCCTGTGTGCTGGTGTGAGGAACGGCCTATCTCCTGGAGACGGTGCCATGCCACACGTCCTGTCCCCTCTGCCCCAGCTGTACGAGGTCAGTGCTGACACGAAGTTCACAAAGCCGTCGGACACAGCCTGCGATGTCGCCTGCTTCATCTACGACCTGAGCGACCCCCGATCCTTCAGCTACTGTGCCAGTATTTATAAGGTAGCTGGCAGGGCCCTGTGGGCCTTCAGCCTTTGCATGGCAGCCCCACATCTCCCCGGGGTCGGTCGCTTGACCCCTTGCTGTAATCTCTCCCTGTCTCTGCAGCAACACTACATGGACAGCCAGATCCCCTGCATCTTCGTGGCTTCTAAGACGGACCTACCTGAAGCCAGTCAGCAGCCCGGCTTCTCCCCCACTGAGTTCTGCTACAAGCACTGCCTCCCACCACCCTTCCTCTTCTCCTGCCATGGCCAGGGCCCACCCAGCACCGCCGTCTACACGAAGCTGGCCACCGCCGCCACCTTCCCGTTAGTATCCTGCCCACCGAAGGGGCTCTCGGCTGGGAGCAGGGCTTGGGGAGGGGGCGCTGCATCCGAATCCTCCTGCTGCCGCGTTGCTTTTGGTTTGGTTGCTCTCGGTGTCACCAGCTCATACAAGTCCTTGAAGGAAAAGGGCCACTCCTTCCCTGCTTGGGTAGGCCAGAGGGGACTGGGCTTTCTTCTGCCTTGTGTGTCTCTGGCTGATTTACTAGATAGATCCTGCCATAGGAGTTTTCATTTTTAAAGCCTAGGATAAAAAGTGCTGAAGGGGAGTAGCCAGCCTCGTTTGCCGTGGCTGGCAGAGTGGGGGTGGCAGCTATTCCCTCCTGATGAGGTGGATCAGGCTGAAAAGGAGATTGGCGGAGCGAGACCTCGGCTTGCACTCCCCTCCTTTGGGAAGGACCTGTGCCTGAGAGGGGCTGGGTGATAGGTAGGGCTGCAGCCGGGCCAGGCACGGGCAACCACGGGAGATGGGAGAAGGAGAACGTGTCTGCGTGTGGCATCGCTCCGCTCTGGGGGCGGCGGGGGCTGAAAGCCAAGGGGTCAGTGCAATGCCTGGGGCAGAGCCCTCCCAGCGAGAACGTGTGGGTGCGTTGGAAGACGGGATGGAATTACTAGTGAGTGGTTTTCCCTCTAGCTTCTTTTCAATAAACAACTTTATTTTTAGAGCTGACACTTTTCCCCCCCCTCCCCACAGTATTAAAATTTAAATATTCTTAATATATCTTAGGGTATGTGGTATAAATAAATAACGGCGTAATGGAGGGCCAGGGATTGGCTGTTCTCCCCTGATTTACTGGAGAATGAATAATGGATATGCCTTTCCTCCTCGGAGAGGAGCACGTTGATGCAGGACAGCACGTGTTTAGGAAGGGAATGTGTATGCTCAGGCAGGACTCGGCCTCTCCCCTCGCTGCCCTTCGGTCGGTGTCACTGGCTGTGCCAGTGTCTCCGCTCGCATCAGCTTCTGGGTCTCGGTGCACTCGGAGTTGTAAAAGCAGCTTGACCTAGAAAGGAAGGCACATACCTCCTTGCTCGTACTAATTATTTAGGTGTTGGTGTGCTATTTCCAGACCATGGGAGGGTAAAGCCACGTCTGTCCCACCCGTGGGGCGGGGAGCTGTTGTTTGGCGACGGTGATGCTGGGCAGTGGGTGCTCTGGCTCAGGGAGCCTCTTGGTGCTCCCCGCCTTTAGCTGGGTGTATCCCCCGGCCTGGAGCCGTGCCGTGGTGGCCCTCCGTCACCCTGGGGACAGCCTGCTGGGGCTGGAAGCCGTCTGGGCTGCCGAGGAGCTTGGCACTGGGACAGCGCTCTCTGCACCTCGCTCATGGGCCTCTTCTCTCTTTCCTTGCAGCCACTTGAACGCCGTGGAGCTGGGAGCTGCGTCCTTCTGGCTCCGGGTGGCTCTGGGGGCCGCGGTGACCGCTCTGGTAGGCTTCACGCTGTACCGTGTGCTAGCCAAGAACAAGTGAGAGTCACTCTCCACCCCGTCCTCCCCGTGACACCAGCCTCCCCCTCCCAAATGACGCCCCAGTGAGGGGCCCTGCCTCAAGCTGGTCCCTGGTGGGAAATCCTCCTTTCCCTCCCGGCCTGGATCGCAGGACCAGTGAAACCAGACTTCCCAGCACCAGCAGGATAGAT